GGGTACTCACCGCTTGTCAATGGTATTTAATGAAAACGATTCAACAGAGACAAATAATAGTTAACCAACAGAATGTTAAGTCATGACGTGATTTTTTCAACATATAGCAGCAAAAAATCTTTGCTGCTGAACAAATGAGTTGTTAATTGTGCTTATCTTTGATATTCTTTCTCATCTTTTTCCTCTGTCTCAGTTTTAAAAAAAAAAATAGAAATGGAAATTTTTTATTGCTCAGCCATCAATTCAAATCAACATATCATGCACCTTCCTGGACGTTCTGATTGAGATTTTATTTGACATGTTAGATTGATTTTGCATGAATGGAAAACGAACGACTATATGCCCTTTTTTCTTGCCTAAATTTGGACTACTGTGCTGTCACTGACAACATTTCTCAAGCATTGGTATCTTCAGTTTCTTTTACTCATGAAATTTAATTATTACTTATGATTGACATATGTCTCACATTTTATTTCCTTTCATACTTATTTGTGAGTTGTCAAGAGAGCTTCCTTTGTTTCTCACTATATTATATCTTGTTTATGATCTTTGTAGACTGCATAGGTTCGGCATTTAATATTAAGGGAGCAATGCAGTGTCCCAACTGTCGAAAAATTGAGAAAGGTCAATGGCTTTATGCAAATGGTAGTCGACCATTGCCTGAATTTAGCATGGATGACTGGGCCCACGATGAGGATCTATATGATCTAAGCTACTATGAAATGGTAATAGTAAAAAATCTATAAATCGGATTTTCTTTTTTATTTGTCTTCATGAACTGGCAGCCATTTGTTTGGGATTATTGTTTTTATTGGAATGTGGCACTTTTACATCTGATTTCCCATAGATTTTCCATTTTCAGTTTTAAACTTATTTGTTCTGTGATGGCTGTACCATGTCCAACTTTTTGGTCAGTAACTCGTTATTTGAATAATGCTTAGCTGCTCGTTGTTGCTGTTTGTTGTCTTGTACTACATTTTTTCTTGTTTAATAGATCTCTCAACTATTTTGACCACTGCTATATGCATCGAGCAGATACTTCGAATGCCAATTTACTTCCTTAGTTTTTAATTGAGCATTTCCTTGCCATTTGGCAGTCAACATTATTTCCACTTTCTTAACACTTTCAACTCCTTGCCTAAATTGGCCTCATTAAAATAATTAGCATCTTATTATAGAAATCACCTTCTCTCCATATGCCACACAGACTCACGCATATCCCTTGGTTGCCTGCAAATACGCAACATGAATTAAGGTGTAGGACATTGGCTTCACATAGCTTGAGTGAAGCAGGTGGAAAAAAGGGATGAGTGCAAAAGAAAAGGACAAGAAAGAAATCAAGGAGATATGCATTGCCTTGGGTTTGAATTAGGCAATAGAGTCATCATTGCTGCAATCTGGCCCAAGATGGAATGGGTAAGATCGATGAAGATAAACACAAAACTACTTTGATTTGAAATTACACTTCTAGTGCTTCTGAAAATCCAAATGAGTTCTAAATTTTGACTATAGACCATTAATTTTCTTTTCAGTAAAGCATTCAATAACTTCCATTTAGGCCCTATCTCTTTGAAGTCTCAGTTATGATTAATTATGTTTTCTTGACCTTTTCATGAATTTCAAACTGTCTTTGTTCTCTATTTATGTTCTCATTTCAGACTGGATGTATTGCTGACTGAAATTTTAGCTTTCTTAGCTGATTGTATGTGTGGTATAAAAGCTGACAACCTAGGCTATTAGTTTTCACTGATCAATTTAGTTTCTCAAAACTTGTGAGTTGTTTTTGCAGTCATTTGGAGTTCATTGGTGTCCATTCGCGGGATTAACTCGGCTTCCTTCATCTTTTGAGTAAGCCTTGTTTTACCTCGTGTTCAATTTTAAGTTCAAACACGTTATATTTACTTCAACTTAAGTTTAGATGTTTCTTACTTTAGTTTCTTTATTGTAGTTTTAACGTAAATGATCTCGTATCATTCTCATTTCCAAGTTGTTCTCATTGATTTATTTTCCATTTGTGACTGGCTAAGTTGTAGACTATTTAAACCATTGTTGAGAAAATCGGACCAGATCAGTTGGTTCAACTGGAACCGGTTCGAAATCCTTTCAGTTCATAATATAAAAATCGAATAAAAGGAAAATGATGCAAAATCCAGTAAATAGCCCGGTTCAACCAGAAACGGTAAATCGGGTACGGTTTGAGAGGTTTATTTTTTTTGTCCAAAAAATTAAAAGAGTAGGGATGAAGAACAAAACAATGCTTTTGATGCCATTTTTCCCTTCGCTCAATGGTCACCGGAGCCCAATGTCTCTATGGCAAAGCCGCAAGCCCCTTTGCTTGGTCTCGGTTAATAGATTCATAGATATATACATATACGTATATAAGTGTTTGTACATGTAATACCGAAGATAGAAGATGATGTAGATCATTTAGCGGTGGTAATGGGTCGAACCGGGTCAATCTTAGACACACGAGTTCAGTTTGTGTCCACAAACGATACTCGGTTTGGCCCTTTGGCTCGTAAACCTCATGGACTGACCCAAGCTGTTCACGAGTCCATGACCCGAATCATATATTAAGAATTAATGAAACAAATTGAAATCTTCCTCCTTTTTCGGGCTCAGGACTAGCTACTTTAAACATGGAGTTAAAATTGTACCCGAGCAAAATATTACATGTAAACTTTTTCTATAAAGTCAGAAAAATTAAAGAAAATTAACGTAAACAATACTTACAAATTATGAATTCTGATCTTGAAGATCTTCATTTGTTAATCTGTCCATTTAATCTTGAATCTGGAGCTCTGTGCCTTCTCAATTCTTTAAATACATTAAACTCTCTATGCAAGATGCAATACATGGAATATACTTCCACGATCACAAATATGACTTTTGAAAATTAAAAAAAATTGGATTGTTGGTAGCCAAACGATCACATATATAACCATTTGGCTGGCTGCCAATGGTTAAAAATAAATAAATAAATAAGAAATTTGTGCCCATAAATTGGCACATAGACAAGGCTTGTGAACTTAGCCTACGAGCTTAAGACGAGTTGGCTCGTAGGCCTTGACCCACGAGCTACTAGCCGGCTCGTAATTTCACGAGCAGAGCGCTCGACTCGTGAAAAATAAATGGTGCCCCAATCGGCTCATGGCTCATCTCAAAACATGTCTGAGTTAGCCATGGGCCAAGCCTGAACGAGCCGAGCCCGTGAGCAGCTCGGCTTGTTTGCCATCCTAAGATAATTTGAACAAAATAACATTTTTTTATATGAAAAAAGAAGGCATATTCAAATGGTAGTAGGGTTTGGGATATGTGGACCCTTTATGTATTGTTGAAGGATTGTTTTTGGCTTTCACTTAATGTCTTCATAAATAGTATGTGTTCAATAATGGATCTTAAAAATACAAATTTAATTAATAGAAGTTTTTAATGTTCTACATAAATCTTTATATTAATTTTTTTTTTCATTTTTAAATTCTGGTTCGACCTTTTGACCCTTTATCTTTTCCAAGTTGATGGCTGGGCAGGTTTTCAGAACATTGATCTTAACTTCACGATTTTGAAATGTAGGCACGGTTTCATTAGTGCCTCATCTACATGTTTTCAGTCTTGTAATGACTTTTTATACACACATTTAACTTCATTGCAAGAAATTCTGTTGCCTTTAGGACACAGTGATACAAGTAAGTTACATGATGGAGGCTAGGCATATGGTTCTTTGAGATGTGCCTTAATGGCACCCTTGTCGACATTTTTGTTTGTGCACCCTCTTCTCCTTCTTAAAGAGTAATTCAAAAACTACTGGTGCCATTAGTGCATAGATGTTAGTTATAGAGATATCATTAATTCTAACAGCTGCCAAGATTTTGTGAAATATATGGTTACTTACAATCATATAACATAGTTACCGAAAAAGAAAATTGAGAGAGAGAGAGAAGGTGGTTGTCTAGCATGTTTCCTTTTTCTTTCTAGGAATTTTCTGTAGTTAATTTTATTGATCTTACTTCTTTTCAAATACTGGCTATCCCACTAACAGTGCTTCATTTTGTTTTCTTTATTTCCTTCTGTCTTCACAGTGAAGGAGAATTTTCATCAAGTGCATGTAAGATTCTCATCCTTCTATATTTTTTAGTAAGGTTTTCATCAAGCTGCAGTAACATTATGATTTTTCATTTTTTTATAGATCATGATCTTGGACAACATGCTATCTTTGCCGAACATGCAGCCGTATCGTCTACTACGCACCCTTGCCCTTATATTGCGTACTTTGGACCAATTCATCCATCTTCTTCAACATCTAGTGGGACTATATCGGATGGATCTAATTTTAATAATCAGTGGAGTGCCCAATCAGTTCCAGGCGAGATCCCCAGTTCTTATGCTTTCCCTGCCATGGATGTACATTATAACAATTGGGAGCACCACGGCTCTCCGTTTGCCACAAGCAGCCGCATTGGTGGTGCAGATCAATCCTTGATGCCATCCGTGACTCAGAGAACTAGGACAAGTTCTGAGATCCCAGTACCTGGATCTTTCGTGCGCCCATTACTAAGTGTTGGTCACAGGTTAGTTTGTGGTGAACCTCATTATTGCTTGAACCTTTTGGATAAAACCAGGGTAAATCTATAAATCCAGTTTCCAGGTAGCTTGCACAACTTCCCACTTCCCAAATACCCTTCCGCCGGTGAGAAAAAATAATTTATAATGAAGAAAGGGTGGAGTCGGAAGGGTTGATTTGATACTTTACATTTTCTGGAACTAAATCTTCTAACCTTTTAGCATTTAAACCAAAAACTGAGCAAAGTTTCCATTTAACTGAGTTGAGTGTCGGTTGTGCTTCTAAGGAAAAAAAAATCAAAGGACCAAGCAGTAGTATAAATTTTGCTGCTCTAAAGGGATAGATTTAAAAGCTTAAGCTCCTAGATAAGATCACAAGACCATGTGTATATAATTTAAGGCCTTGTATGGGAGAGATT